CGTCCAAACATATGTGCACAAATATGTGCATGCACATGTGCACAGATGTACCTATCTCTGTATACGCATACATAGTATACACACACATGCACCCACAAAGGATGCTCACACAGTCATCAAAGAAATAGGGAAAGGACTCACTAGGTGCTATACAGAGAAAGTCTACTTTCCTAGCCAACTCTACTCTGCATGGTTTGGGAAGTAATGAAAGCATATAAAGAAGCACCAAGGAAATGAACCCTGGAGGCACCTGCAATCTGTTCAAGAATGGATTAATGACAAGATAACTTGTTTGAAAAACTGCCTCTGACATCTTGTGTAAGAGGACTTTTAATTTGATTATAAAATCCAAACTATAACAGTTGTGCTGTTAATTAGTATGTAGAATTCATTTGAAGTTGTCTGGAGGTTTGAGAAAAAGGAATTTGGATATTTTCAGGCTATAGTTAGTACTATAAAGGGTTAACCAGAGTTCTAATTCCAGTTTGGGGAGTCTGAACCTTCTCTAACTTTAAGACCAAACTGTTCCCTTCTGTGATCAGAACATCATTTATTTCTTCCTTAAACGTGATGGTAAGATGTATCGTGGAGTTTGCTAGGGAATAAAGGAATTTCCCACACAGCATTATGTTTGAGTCCCACAGCAAGTTTATGAGGTTGGCAGGACAACAGTTCAAAGTGAAAATACTGGGACTAAGTGGAGGTAAGTGACACCAAATTGTACAGACATTGAGATATCTGGATGTAAAATCTAGATTTTCAGTCACTAGTTTTGGCACTTTTAGCGTGTGCCCTCTCCAAAGTATTGCTTGATACTTTCAACAGCCTTTGTATGCTGACCTAGGTGGATGGTACATCTGATCCATGTGACATGTCACATACTCTGATATCCAATTTCACACCATTAGTTGGCAGTCACTGAATGGAAGTTCAGTATGTCATGAGAATCCAACATCGATCTCTCAATTAAAAAGCAAAGCTCCCCTGGGAGCCAAACTTAAAGATAATTGGTTTTCTTATTTGAACTGTATCTCTCAGGCTCCACTTGCAGAAGGTTGTTGGATAATTTAAAAGGGAGATACACTGGAGAGAACTGTGCCCTTTCTTAACTTAAAGGAGGTCATTACAGGGGCTAAAAATGCTTTGGCCACAACCCCCTGAAAACTAAAAGTGCGTTCAGGAGACATACTCCTTAATTGTTCTTTTAGGAAGCCTGTGATATTCAAAGAAGTTTGCAGAAAAATTATAATTGTCCAAGCACAGAAAGAATGGTGGAAAGCTATGATTCTTAAGGTTTTGTGTGTGATCTGTTCTTTGGATATACGATGCATCTGCCATCCTGATGCTGGATCTACTCCAGGTCAAAGAACACAATAATGATATAGAAAATCAGCTATCTGCTATAGTAACCCCCTTTGGTCTCCAGGACGTGTAAAGGTTTTGAAAATATAGATGGAACAAGAAGACAGGCTCTGAGAAAGCAAAGTCAATGTGCCTATCATGAGCTCATCTTGTATATCTATGGATGGCTTAAATTTCCCCAATGAAGTGGAAGGAAAAACGAGGTAACTATCTCAATACTGATTATCTACCTTCAACCAATCCCGTGTTTTCAATAGGATTCATTTTCTCACCCATCTCAAGACAGAACCTCCATCCTATCCCTTCCATCCTCCCTGAACACCCTCCTTGTTCAATCAGACATTGCCTTGTATGCCTTCATACTTCCTTTTCTCTGTAGTGATATTATTACCTACAGTCTTAAAAAAACCTCCCCTCTGTCGTCTCTTCTATGTCTAGATTTTTACTTTCCTCTCTCTGTCTCTCTCTGTCTCTCTGTCTCTGTCTCTCCCTGTGTCTCTGTCTCTCTCCATCCTTTACCAATATTCTTGATATTCTAACCCATGTACGTGTTCATTTCTTTCACCTCATTGCAGTCCACTCCCTGCCCCCACATTCCCATAATCCTTACACCTCTTCAGTAGCAATTTTTTTTGGATTGTGACATTATTTTCTTTGTTTCTCCCACTTCCATGACTCATTCTTGAAATCATTTTTAGGTCTTTTTTTCCTTCCAACACTATGTGTACTCCCACCTACTCTGTCCTCAGCCCCGACTCTGCCCAAAATCTCTTTCTAAAACCAATGGTCAGTGTGATCCTCACCTTACTAGACATTTTTTGCACATTATTCCTGAAATGCCTTTCTCTCTTCTTGTCTTCAGACACTGTTTTAATATACACTCACCAGAGCACTGAATCAGCTTATTTCATTGTACCCTGTAAGACTCTTTTGTTCTAAATCAGGGCTTTTTGTTGCTGTTGTTAAATGTCTGTCATGGAAGTTTACCTCGATTTCTTACATTTGTTGTTCAGCTTAGATTTTGGTAACCCCATATGGTTCTTGTTATCCAGTTATCTGACCAAAACCTCTGGCTCATAATAAAATTAGCATCTCGTAAATTCACACTTACATCAATATGCATGACATTACCTTTTTATCTCCTGGAGAAAGAGTTATAATTGAAATATCAGTATGATGTGGTGATGGTGTAACCAACATTATTCATTTTCTCATCTATAATTCCAATGAGGCAAATTAAAGATCTGCTTCCAATGCCTCCCAAAATAGTTGAAAGGATTTAAAATAGTAAAAGTTCTAAAAATTTTTCAAAAGGTATTATGTTGATGACATGCAAATTACTAAATGAAAAGTAAGTCTTCTTTCAGTTGTGCTTACATCTTACACATTAAGGTGTTAGTTCAGGACAGTAGAGGAAAATGAAACAGCAAAAA